ATTACCAGCAACTATTACAGCTAACTTAGAGCTATTTATTGAATCGGGAGACGAAATATGTCAATCTAAAGGTATAAAATACAGTTTTAAATCAAATTTACCTCCATAATGGAATATATAATCAGGCCATCCGCTCTAAATATATATTATGTAACTTGCGATGTAATACATATCGACATTAAAAATATATTTTTTGATGAGCTAAAAACATCATGCCGATAGAAAAAATATAGTTTGCACAATTTTTAAAAACACTTAGTACATTTAATTGTAATACTAAGACAAGAGTCACCTAAATAAACTAAACATCCTTACATTAATTCATTTTTCTTACATCACTATACGATTTTTGCTTTTTATTATTACCCCATTGAATCATCCGAGATTTATTGAAGTGTTTGCGATTTTCGTATACTTTATTGAAAATTTCATACGCATTATGGCTTAGCGTTTTACGATTTTCACGCACACGTCAAACGGTCGTCCCTTATCACACACTCACACACTCACACACACAAGCACACAGCTCACACACACGCCGTTAGGTTCTCGCACAAGTCAGCAAGTCAACGAGGATGTCGTCTTAAGTGAACTAAGCTGACACAGCATAAAGTTTTGGGCTACACACACACACGTGTGTGCACACACACGCCTATGCTGCGTATACAATTTCGAGCAATCATCTAGGTTGTTACCTTATTACAGCAACAACAAGAACAGCAACAATAATATCAGCATTCGACCGGCATGAAACTGCCAAAAACTTTAGCATAACGCGCTAGTTATCTGCTTGTAAATACATAATCCGCTCGGACAAAGCCTCGGCTAGCGTTTCCAGAGAGTTACAGAGTTTCATTTCTGGCCCATCTCCGCAACTCCCCAAAGGATTGGGCGACGCACCTTGGACGTCTTTAATGCGGATTTATTTTTATTGCCACAGTTTTTGGGTCGCATTTAGGGGCTAAGCAGGTGCTTTATAAAACTCGCAGCATGTCAGCTCTAACTGTAAATAAGGCCGGCCCAAATAGATGGCAACTTCCGTCTTGCCTTTTGTTTAGTTGGCGTCCAGCCGAAGCCACAACGTGTAGTAAAATTTACACCTCAAAATGTGTCCCTAAAGCGCAATCAAAAGGTTTTGCGTTATTTTCTTGTGCTCTGTGAAAAGCCAAAGCGGCAACTCTTTTTGTTGCTGCTGTGGCTGGTAAGGGGTATTGCGAACTGTAAATGTCGTCTTTATAATTAGTTAAGCGGCGTATAAAATTCGTAGCATTAACATCGCAAAATTGAGTGCCAGCATTCATAAATAGCTTTAAATATTTACTTTAATATTTCCCTCTGCGTAAAATTTGGCTTAAGTTTTTACATAATAGATAATATTTTAAAATGTTCTCTGTATGGCTTGAAAATAAGAAATGAGATCTTTGTCGTTAAATTTTATAATTATACTCTCTCTCAGAAGAGCCAAATACCTATTCAATAATTGAGCTATGATGTTGATGTCGATATAAACAACTTAACAGAGTGGCGCTAGTTAGGCTATAGTTTGCAAAATGTCTGCTATCAAGTAGTACATTTAATTATAATACTTTGAATTAGCTGGGAGCAACATTACATGATTTGTTAGAGTGAGATGTAAATATAAGCAACATAAACACATAGCTTGTGTACCCTGTTCTGTGGCTCACACTCTGCCTCCACGACTAATTTTTAATTTGCAATTTAATTTGCAACTTTTTTTTTGCACCTTTGGTGACCCACAATTGGTGCAACATAAATGCAATTTACTTGGTTTTAATATATGTATAAATAAACAAGGCTTTGAAATGAAAACACTTCCTCAACTACGGCGTTCATTTATTTATTGGGAGAAGGTAGTGGTTGCAACAGACCTGTAAGAAGTAAGTATGTTTATCTTGCTTGCAAGAAAACTTTTTGGATATTTTAATAAGCCTACAAGATCCAATTAAAGCATAAATAAATAATATCGTATCATCATAGAAATACAAAATAGTAATTTACTAACATTAATGTGGGTTAAACATTTTTATTTCAATACCGCCTACCAATTACTATCCACGATTAAAACAAAAAAAGAAATATGGCACGCAAATATTAGTATATACACAAGGATGTGTTCAAAATATAAGGCTGGCAAACACCAAAGCATATGCTGTGTAAATACAGAAAGCTCGAATAAAATAAGTAATATAGAGATATGTATATATACATATGAACCACACACACACACATGCACACTTACACTCTTTTATAGTGCCTATACATATTGAAATTCATAACTACATACAAAAACCAATTACAATATCAATTTAAAAGGGATTAAAAAGCATACCCAAGGCTTTCAGCACGCCCACCGTATGGTGAGCCTGACCCATCAACCATAGCTAAACCAAACGACCGACCGACCATTTGGCTGAGTGTGGACTTCTGTTTGTGTGCGAGTGTGAGTTTTGCCACAACTGTAGCATACTTTGCGGCTGCAAAATAATATTTATCATTTACAAGTAGAGCCAGGGCTGAGGGCTGAACTTCAAGATTGCGGACCTCGTTATGCCAACAAAAGTTGAAATGAAATTCTAAGCTCTGCAGATTTTCATAACAAATTTAGTTACGCATTTCGGTTTAAGGATGTAATAAGCCATAATGCCATTGTATATGTGTGTAATATATTAAATATATTTCGGTCATTGAGTAAACACTGATCCACAAATTTCAACAAGTGGCGCACTCAAAACGTTTCCTTATATTCATTTACAGGCTCACAAAAAGAGGACAAATAGAAAAATATTAAGAAATCAACTCTACCAAATTACTGAAGTATTTGAAATTATACAACATATACTATTATATGTTATGTATTTGTTACATTTGTATTTCAAAATAAACTGGAATAAAGTTATAGTTTCAAACATGGCTTGGCAGTGTATGCTTTGTAGAAGAAGAATTAAAAGGTCTTTTTAAAATAGTAGTTATGGAAATATGCCTAAAATTATATAATGGTAAACTAAAACGTTGTCAATCAAGTAGCCAAATTTAGTTGATCAAACGACCGTTGATATGCTTATTATATGACAATAATAGATTCATCTAGATACTATAGTTCATTAAATCGAAGTTAGTTGCTTAACATTTTCCAATATCCACTGTAAATACATTGGAATGATTTAGTTTGTTTGCCAACAACGTCAACATCGTGCAGATAGCCGCAAATTATTGCATCAAAAATATATTCATCGATTGTTGTTGTCGTTGGCTGTGAAGTTGAAAGAATGTTTATGTAAGCAACATTTTTCTCAGCATTTTCTAGTAGAAGCAGTTTTGTTAAATAAAGCTGTGGGCGAACTGATGGCGCAAAGTGGTTTATATTTTAGTTGAATTTTGTGCTTTTGTATGTAAATAAAATGGTTATAGTTGACTTAGCAATTCAAATGCCAATAACAGAAATAATGAGCTTAGGCATGTGATGGACGGATAAATCAGTTTGCAAATGTGATGTCAAATTAACATGCGATTACGGGGATTACCTGGAATATATACAATTTGCTCGTACACAAGTATCTGTGTGTGTGTGTGTGTATGTTTGTTTGTGTAAATTGACAAGCGGCAGAGGCACAAAGTGAAAGCAAAAGGCGCAACAAGGCAAAACACAAATAACAATGGAAAGGATAACGAGCCTGGCGTCGGCCTCAGTGAAAAAGAACTTAACGTAAATGACTGGCAACCAAGTGGACAAACACACGCAACAGAAAAAGCAGCAACAACAAGTTCTGCGACAACAATTCTGATAGAAAGAAAGAAATTAAACAAAACAAAGCAAAAAAGTTAAGCCCGCAAGACAATTGGCAAAAGCATTTGTCTGACTGTCTCGTTGACATGACGTGGCGCGATTTGTTCAAGGAAAGGCTTTTTTTCTGTCCAGCCCATGTCTGTGCGTCTATCCTTCACGACCTGACGTCGTCCTTCCGTCCGCGCCACAGTGGTCAGAGCTTGCGACGAGCTTAAACAAAATGCATTCTTTCGGCTTCAAGCTTCAAATATTTATTTTGGAAATTATTTGGAACTAATTTACTATTACAAAATTTTTTTTCTTGTATATAGCTTTGTAAATCGTATTCAAGAATAAAGCGTTTCTTGATGGTCTTGGAAATGGTGTAGAAATGCCGTTTCATGTAAGATACTAATTATCTTAACTTCCTTATTGACAATTATTTACATACTATATACTAGATCGACTACACGAGGCAAAGGCAGCTGGTTTTTTCTTATAGCATGCTCACAAGCAGTGGTTTGTTAATTAAATCGCAGATATTTTAATTTACCATTATTTTTTATTCTACGAATTGAAATTTTATGAAAATATTTAGTGGACTTGGACTCCTGCTAAAAAGATAGGGCGGATATGTTTTTTTGTTTTTGTTTTTAATTTCTGCTTTCAATAAACGAATACTTTTAATATATACCCTTGGTGTTATTATGCTTTGAAACGTAAATTGTTGATCAATTTCCTGTTCATAAAACAAGTAACAAATTTTCAATTTTGAATTGAACTTAAAACTCATCAAGCTCCGTTTTCAATACAACACAATATTTAAAAAAAAGTCCTTTGTTTTGCTAAAATTAAGTTTGAGGCCACTGTGCACTTTTGTGCGACTAGAAGTGAGCAACACGCGCCAATGATTATGTCGCCGCCTACAACAACAGCAACAACGACAGCAGCCCCACAACACCAACAGCAGCAGGCAAGGGACTCCGAACATTTTCTGAATTTTTCGGATACATTTGGCGGCAAAATCTGTTGCCTTGAAGCTTTTCATTGAGAAAAAAACGGGCAGTGCATTCTGATTCTGTTGTCGTCATCGTCGTTCGTTGCGAGGAGATGCGCATGCGCCGCTGTCGTCGACAATCCATGAACGAAGGAAGTCCACGGAAGTTGCAGTTGCCATTAGTTCGTGTTTGTGACTCGCGCGTGTTGGACGTGTTTACTGAAGACACGGGTCGTATACGCTTTATTAAAGTCCTGGCTCAGCTCTCGTCTGCGCCTGCTGATGATAATGATGTTCGTGTGTTTTTGGTGCTTATTGGATTTGTACAAAAAGCCGGTTAAAGTGTGCAACTGAAGGGCGAAACATATACAGCAATTCGAAAGAATTTCTTAGAAAATTAACTTACTCTGCAACTGCCCGCTGTACATTTATTTGGACGCGAGGTTTGAGTAAGTAAGGGTGTGAGTGTGTGCCGGGCATTTTTTGTTGCTATTGTTGGTGTTGTTGTTTTGTTTTGTCCGTTACCGTGTAAGCTCGTAAGTAGGTTAATTGACGCGTTTCTGAGTTACTGTGTGTGTTTATTTGTTGCCACAGCTACATCGTGTGTGTCTGTGTTTGTGTGCGTGGGCGTATCTTCTAACAAAATAAAAACAAATATAACGCTCAAGTGAGCAGCCGGCGCTCCTCTTCATAGTTGTAATGAACGTGAGCAACAAAGACCCTGCATAGTTCGAAAGTGGGCCCAAAACACGCGATAAATGCGACGTCGGGCATGTGAACTGCGACTCACAACAAATTAAGGTAAATGTTCGACAGCATAAAAAATGAAGAACAAAAAAAAACCCGGGGAGAAAAATGTTTGAACTGCACATTACTGCAAATTGAACAGTAATATGTTGTTAAATGATTACTTGAAAGTTTCCGTTAAGTGAAGCATTGCAAGCGCCTTTGTGGAAACTTTTCAATTATAGAAAAGTTTTAATGGCCGGCAAAAGTAATTTAAGAAAAAGAAACAAGAATATCTCACCATAATACGAGTATATGAAATTGCTTTCTTCTTCGCATTTAAACCTGTGCTTTAATTCAATTAGTTTCAGCAAGTTAAACCGATATGATAAATATCCATAATATCTATTTCCAATAAGATAAACATGTTTAATATAGACAAGCTAGTCTATGGGAAAAAGTTCTGAACAAATACAATTGGAGATGAATTGTTAAAATAATCTAAAAATTTTAATATTTTTCTTTTCAACATAAATTGTTTGTTGACGTCAAACTTTAAAATAGCGTACTCAGCGTGTTTAGTAAAAGTTTTTGTTTTTAGTAACTTTTTTTTGCCATCAGGATAATGAATAAAACCGAGCAAGGAAGGGTTTTTATATAAAAAAGCCACTTTGGGTAACAAGCCCGTAGACTAGCAAGCATATGTTGAGCATGAAAGTTTTATATACATAGTTGATAATATATTTTTGAATTCTTCTTCATATGTTTAATTATGGGGTAATTTTTTTTAAACTTGCATTAGTTCTCGTTGAAAGGTTATTCATATTGTATTCATTTCACAGAATTATTTACACTGATTTATACTAAACTTATGAAGTCTTTGCCAAATTATATTGTAAAATAGGACATTTCCTATAAATGCCTGTTTAAGTATTCTTAACTATAAATAGTTGAGAGTACATTTTTTTAACCCAAAAATAATTGTTTCTTCTTACATACTGATTTTTTTTTTCTTTTCAAAATATTTTATACAATTATGTTCATAAAGCCAAAGTATCACATCATTTTAATGTAAATTTCAAATTAACATTTACAGAGCAAACAATAAATAAATAACATATTAAATTATGAGAACAGTGTGTTCTTTGCCAACATACGAAGGAACAATAAATTTCTTAATTAAAATTTTAAATATGCTGTTGTTTAATTTTTCATGCAATTATCACATTTAACTATCTCTAGGAAGTCAAACTTTTGGATAGGGATAAAAAATTTGGTTTGTGTGTCTATATTTTTTATTAAACTGTGTTTAATTTGCGCCGAAGTCTCATTACTCCATTGGGGATCCTTAGTTATTGAACGAGTTTTGCCATTTTATTATTTATTGTAACTAAATGATGCAATTAAGCATACATTTATCTTTCAATATTTGCCCAATAATACAATCAATGCATTTAAATTGTAAATAATTGATTGCTGCAACGAGTTTGCAAAAAATGAAATTTTAGACTAATTGCTATTTAACTTTTTTATTGCCCCAAAAAGCGCGCAATAGAAAATTTAATTTAGTGGTTGGCGCACTTCTCTTCTCACTTCTGCCAACGACATGGTTGGTCTACTCAACAAACATGTTCATAGTACAAAAACAACTATGATACACGCACACAACTGTCGCACTGTTTTCAAAATAATACACAAAATATACATACAAGTATATAGTACTATATAGCCGTACGACCACATGTACATATATAGGACATGCAACTGTCGCCAAGTGAGGGTCTGCATTAAAGTCTGACCCGACCTACTCGTGCATATTTATTAATTTTTTGTATGGTACTGTCACTGTTGTTGCTGTTTATCTTAAATTTAAAAGCATTTGCTCTTTCGCCCTCTCTGCCGCGAGCTGTGATGTTAGCATAGCATCGCAACGCAGTTGTGTGTTTTGTTTTATTATTTTGCGGAAGCAGCGCGCCAACATCAAATATAAAAAGGTTTTTCTTGCTTACCACACATTCTCTCTCTTTCTCTCTCTCTTTGTGTATCTCACTCACTAGGTTGGTCTGGCTGCCTCTGCATTACCGTTATTTTATGACGGAAGTACATTTAAGCAGATTTTTTTTACTGTTTGCCCAAAAGGGCTGTCTCGCTCTCTCTCTCTCTCTCTCTCTTACTCATTCCCAATTTTGTCTCGGTTTCTGGCTCAGAAATTTAAATATTTTTCTTCTTTTCATTTCCGAGCGTCTCTACTAAAATTTATGTTCGTCCAAATTGTAATCATAAAAAAAGTTGCGCTGCCATCTTTGTCGTTGGCACAATAAAAAAGGTTTAAAATGCATTAGGCAATTTTTGTTTCCACATTTACTCTTTTCTGTTTCTGTTGGCAACTGATTTGGACTGGTTTTTTTTGTTATTTTTGTTATTGTTTGTGATTTGTTGTTGGTAATGAAAAGTTAATTTCGACATTCGCTGCCTAATATTTTAAAATGTGCTGCAAATAATTGAAATTAAAAACAATAACCAACGCAGTGCAACCAAAAACAAAAGCAAAAGCAAAGCCATGAGTGCACATCAATTTAAAATTCACATCCAAACAAACACACACATGCACACACAAGCACAGACAAACAAGCACTTCATACTTACAGGAGGAGAGCTAAAACAATTCAAGGAGGCAAGTCAAGTAAATAAATAAAATTTTGTGCAAGAGCTTGTTTCTTTACTGTTTGTTGGAGTTGGTTTTTGCTTGGAGCTCCCGGCTGGCTTTTGGAAAATTTATTTAAGCTTCTGAACAATGATATAATCTAAAGCGGCTATAAAATTAAATTTAGATCTTTGTAAGTTTTTGTTGGCACTCAAAAGCAGAGAAGCAGAGAAAGCTCTGACGCATTTTCGAAGCATGCCACTGAAAAATCAAAGCGCACCTTAAGAATCTGCAACAATAGCTACTTTTGCAGCAGCAACAAACTAAACACTGTTGCCGTCACAGTGCCGTCAATGTGCCACATTATTGTTGCAAAATGTCAGGCCTTAGCGACAGGGCGCATGCCAAAGCAGACAATGCAGACAGAAGACAGCCGTGGCAGGCAGACAGGCAGCGTGGCAGCCATTGAGGCAGTCAGCCATGCAGCTGAAGCTGTTGCTGCTGTTGCTGCTGCCACCTGCCACAATGATGCACAATGCTTGGCAGACATTTATGGCAAAAATGCCAGTCAGCCCCACTGCCAAGGCAACATGAATGCTATGAAGTGGTGGTGCAGCATTTTAATGCTAACGGAACATTTTCTGCGTGAGCTTTGCGGCATTAGCCTCGACGTTGTCATTTTTCATTCCATACTTTGCCATGTCACACACAAACTGCTCTGCTCCGTAGTTGCCACAAAAATGGCAAAAGTTGCCACTTAAACGCAGTAAGCATGAAATGCTCTGCATACTTACATATATACACAAATACAAATATAGAAAAATAGCTGGTTCATATTTTATTTTTAAACATTTTACAGCTCGCTGACATTTATAATGCATTGCCTTGATTTCAACGAGAATCTTCTTTTGATAACAGTGATCATAAATTCCATGTGTTGACATATATAAACTATGTTTTCTAAATAGTATTAGAGTAAATAAAAATCGCAAAACATATGTACACACACTATACACATCAAATTTTCTTTGGTTTTACTAAAAAGAAGGAAAAATTCAAGCAAATTCCTTGTATAGACAAAGATTTAAAAGAACAACTATTATTCAAAACACAAATGTATAGTTTATTGTAGTATCTTTAGGCAATATTAAACAATTTTTTTTCATTCTAAATCTTAAATTGTACATGACTGGCTTTTCACGTTGATTTTTCTCGGACAAATGAAAGTATACCAGCAAAAGATAATTTTGTGATACCTTGCCATAATCAACTAAAAAACTACCAATATATTCATTTATGCTGTGTTCAAAGCCAAAAACTGTTGCGTTTTAAAAGTTTAGTTTTATTTTATGTTGCTAATCATTCGAAATGTAAAATGTGATACACGTATTATATTAATATAAATATTAATAATATATACGTATATAGTTAAATAGATCTTTATGCACGGCGCTTCTTTCAGTGCAGTTAGCAGTTTCACAAGGCAATGAAAATACAGGAATGCTGCAGGCTTTCAAAAACTGTGCAATTGTATACGAATAATAATATCAAAATATAATACAAATTATTCAAATGTTTTATTTAAATACAAATGAGGCAATGAGGTGCAACTCTACGTCTACGTCAAACAAAATAGTCAACTAGTCTACCCCTGTTGTGATTTTGTTTCACAAATTCGGACCATATTTTAGGATTTGTGTGGAGCAGTAGGACTGCTGACCAGACAAATTTTAATCGAGTCACATTTTCTCCAGAGACGTTTATCTCATTCAATACTCATCATGTCTGCTTCACCAAATTGAAATATAAAATTTCCTCTAAGCTTTTTATAGTTGGTAAACTCGTTTTATTGTCAGCACCGTTGGTAAATTTGTTATTTCTCTATTGTTAATCCTAATCTTTAAAATAGACAGGTTGCTATAATTCTGCTCGTGCTCTATTTGCTTAGCAAACGAGTGCTCCACCAATGCAGAAGCTGAAGCCAATTATTAATATTATGTCTATACAAAAATGCAGTGCGGTATCCGGTGTGGAAAAAAGTGAACCTTTCACTGATCCTTTGTTACTTTTCCACAAAAACTAATTTTTTCACAGTCCTTACTGTCTAAGATCAACAGCAGAGGCCCATATAGCTAATTAGGTGCACTCCATCGCATCGATCCAACCAAGCTAACATTGTATACTGATTGTATAAATGATTAAGCAGCTATAATTAAAGCGCTGCGACTGACTGTCATGAGCTCCACAATAGCATCACTTCGTGCCTCGACATCCCCTTTGTTTCAGTGTCGTGTTGATTGTTAATTTATGTTTGCATACATACACATACTTGTATGTATGTGTGTGTGTATGGATAAAGCATATGGTACTAGCAGGCTGCCATCATACTTACAAGCCCATGCTGTCAGCTTAAATTGTAGCTTGAATGTAG